TAGCCTAAGACCAGGAAAATTATGTCAACAAAAGTTCCTTAAAAATACCTCTTGATTAAAGAGCATAAAATACAAACTTTCTTACATTCCAGCTATATCAAGGAGTCTCTGCTATTCAACCTCATCCTCAAAAAAATGTTACTGCTCTCAGCAGGAGTGCTCGCTGGCCCATTCTGTCTTGGATGGGCACCAGATCAGACACATATGAGTAATTCTTCAGCAGCATTTTGCAAGTAATGGATTACTGCTGCCTGCTTTGCACAGAGGTAGTCACAGAGGAAAAGGTGTGTATTTAACCATCCGGCAATGACAGAGTACTGTGATACATGATCAACTATATAGTTAACTTTTTACTAAGAAAATTATGCATTTAAACTTTCAAGGGAAGCAGGCAAGAGAGAACAGCATAGGAGGGAGAGTCTAAGATTAAATTGTGGGGCATTAGGTAACATTTAAACAGAGCATGAGATCTGCACAAGCAGGGTTATATCCCAGCAGTGGATGTGCTGTTCTTCTTAGTTTCTTTTCCTGGGTGGTATGGAATCACATTGTCAAATCAAAGTCAAATTAGCTGGAGTATTTCACTCAACTACTGAAAGCTGCATTAACCTTTTCCCTCACCACAGCTGAGGTGTCGGCAGCAGTAGCTGCTGGAGGCCAAAGTTTTACTGCGGTTGCCATCAGAATATTATTAACAGAGAGCAAGGCCATTTCTCTGAAAAGAGAAGTTGGGATTAATGCCTAAGGCTGGAGGATTTAGGAAGCTTTACTTGTAACAGTGAGAGATCCCTGGAGGAAAGGAGCCTGAGAAGAGCAAACCAGAGAATTTGAATGATTTATGAAAAAAACCCTGGCAAAAAAAAACCCAAAACCAAACAACCACCACCAACAAAAACACAACAAAAGCAAAAAAACACCAAAACCAAAAACCAAAGCCAACGAAAAACACCACAAAAACAAACAAACAAAAACTTATCCATGGCTCTCCTCACCCTCTCAGCATGGCCCATGGCCACATGCCACTGCACTTTCCTGAAATGACCTTGGTTTGTACTCCTGACAATAGAGCCAAGTTTCCTGATCAGTGCAGAGACACACACAGATCAACAGGAACTGTCGACTCTGCAGTCTGCAGAAACGGGAAAAGGGAGACAGAAAAACAAACAGCCTCTCAGTTAACACAAGAACTGTCAACACCAGTCTTGAGAAGATGAGAAGATAAACTCCAATGATGAAGCAGTATCAGAGATTTATTTGAGATCTTAGAGTAAGGTGCAGAAAGAGCTTGAAAGTGATTCAGCACAAATAACTGAGTTCAGAGAAAAAAAACTAGTTTCCTTTCTCCCCCACTCTTGATTTCGTTTCTGCAACATTCGATTTCCTTCCAGCATGCCTGCCCACTGTTGTTATGTGTGGTGAGAGCATGTCACATGCTGTCTTTTATGGACACGTTCCCGATAAAACCACATCACCCACACCAGTGAAGCTTGGGCCACATTATCTAAAGATGATTTTCTCTTCTCAGCTGTGTAATTGCAATAACTTTGAATGGTACTAAGCAGAAATAAACTGAACAGCAGCTACAGCTGGGCAGTGCTCCTTGGGCTGCTGCTTTGCGCCCTGCCATGGCTGTGCCCATCTGGTGACCTGTGGTCCTGCTAAGTGTGGCCCCAGCAAAAAACAACTTTTGTGGCTGCTGGTAGAGCAGATTCCCAGGGGTCTGTGCTTTCCACATTTACACTTCTTTATTTAGAGGAATCGAAACAAGAAAACATCAGACCTTGCCAGTGGCTTTTGAAACCACAATCTACTTCTTTTCGCTCAGCCCTATTGCACAATCCTATAATTAGCAACAGCCCCACCGTGCGCTGTTCCCGCCAAAATGGGCTGTGATTTACACATCAGTAACTCCCTCATACACCAGGAAAACCCTGTGAGGATGTGGGCCAGATCTGGAAATTAAGGCAATTCCCCTCTAAACAGCAGTGGGTCTCCCTGCATTACACCACTGCACTCAGACACACGGCTCTGACTGCAGCAAGAGGGAGACAAGCAAACTTGAGAGACTCAGGCTCACAGGTTGGTCTATTAACCCATTTTGCAGGCTGAAGTGTGCCCTTTTTTATTACATTTTATCCTTCTGTATTACATTGTATCCTTTATTACCTATTATCCCATTTTTAACACTACTTTAAAATAAAACAAAGAAAATAAATTAATCCTCTCAACTCAACTATCCCACTGATTTGTGCCCAGCTGCCCTGCTAGGAAAGAATCTCTCCCGCATACACCCAAAAGAAGGGCCCATCTCTTTGTGTGGCTGCAGGGGTATAGAGACAAGCTGCCCTTTAAGCTTATCTGCCTTCAGGGTGAGGAAGTGTTGCTGAGCAGGACAGGATTGAGGTTAATTTGGTTTTGGCTTCACTAGAGGAAGAGTAATTTAAATAATTTACCCAAGGATTTCATCTGTCTCCAGATTCACAAAGATGAACAAGCCTCAGGTCATACCTGGCTCTGTCTAAACATGCAAAATAAATGTGCAAAGTCACACACACGTGCGAGCAGCACAAGAGACCAGCACGACCTCATGGCTTGAGTCTGTGGGTGCTTCACCTGCATTGGGCACTGCCTGGCACTGAGTAGGACAGGAGGGGCATGTGGGCCCCCTAGTAAGGGGGCAGTCTCAATAAGGCCCCAGTCCCTTGTGCTCACATTCTGGAGTGACTTCCATGATTTGTGGAGCAGCGATTGGACTGTGGCTGTGAGATGCAGCCCCGGGCATAGCATGCTACGGACCACCACACCTCCTTCACGAGGGATGACGCATCATGCAAACATCCTCCTGACCTGTTTACCTGCCTTGCCATCTCCTAAAACCCAACAAACTTGTTTTGAAGACACAGTTTCTTATATAAGAGAAATGACTGTCAAAGGCCAGCTCTGCCTGAACAGGGCTGAGTTACTAACAGCAGTGTTCCTACAGCAGAAGGGACCCCAAGCACATCAGGTCAAGGAAATTAGCCCACAATGCCATATAGGTTTTATACCAGCTGTGAGACAAAGGCAATACATCCTCAAAAACATTAGAAACTTCTCTGTGGCCAACCTGAGCTGCTCTGACACCAGGCCACAATCTGGCAGGGTGCACTGTGTGGTGCTGACAGAGCCAGTTTACTGTTTTGGCCTTGCAAAATCTTCATCCAGCTATAGCTTTCATGTAGACATCTCACCCTGAGAGTGCCCTCTCTGTGAGCTCACACCACTGCCCCTCGCACATGCCACCCCTGCAGCACCACTGTGCCAGCTGCCTCCTGTCGGGCACCAAGGGGCTGAGGTGTCCTACACAGGGAGGGAAATCGGCCATGTTCCAAGTGTGCCATCATTCTGGGAAATAGCAGGGGAAAGGCTCTCCGCACTGAGCTGGTGACGATTCCCCTTTTAATGGAACTTCAAAGTCATTAGCATTTCTAGATACTTGACACAGGCTCCTATCCCATAGAATGGAGTCTCTCAACATCCTGTTGTGGGTCTGTATTACACTATGACATTTTAAGTTGTGTTTTGATGGGAGAGGTAGTAATTTACTGACTTTCAGCCACAAATCAGTCCTTTCTTTGTTATGTCTGACCCATCTGTGCTTTCTTTACATCAAGCAGTTTTAATTTTCCCCTAAAAGCAGAAGTCCATGGCATGTGTCACAACACGAAATATCAACTCTCTGAGAGAGGGGAGGCAGATGAGAGATCCACTTATCACTGGCAGCTCTCCCAACATGGAGCAGCAATCACAAAGACATGAGGGTGACTTTTTTCCAGCTCTTGCTTCTTGTGAAAAGCAAGAGCATCTAAAATTACAGCCAGCACAGGTAAGTGTGCCCGAGCTTGTGTAAGCCAGAGCCATGCCATGCAGACCCTGCACTGCCACAGGGAAGATCCAGCAGTGGGGGGTGGCCCCAAGTGGTTTCAAATGGTACATGAGTATGGGCTAGCTTGTTTCCCCATGCTTGGTTTGAGGGCAAGGTCACCATCACTTTGAAGAGAAAGAAGGTTTAGAGAATTGGGGTTGCCCAGCGTGGTGAAAAGGAGGCTCTGGGGATTCTTTATGGCAGGCTTCCACTACCTGGAGGAGGCCTAGAAGAAAATCTGGGACAGATATTTTAGAAGGGCCTTTTGCAATAGGACAAAGGGTAATGATTTAAACTAGTAGTGCATTGATTAGATTAACTATAAGGAAGAAGTTTTGCATTTGTATGGTGAAATACCAGCACAGGTTGCCCGGAGAGGTGGTGGATGTTCCATCCTGGGAAACATCGAGGGTTAGGTTGAATGGGGCTTAGAGCAACCTGATCTAGTTGAAGATCTTTCTGTCTTTGTGGCTACAAGCAACAAAATACAATGTGGCTGATCTAGACAACCTTTAAGAAATCCCTTCCAAATCAAGCTATTCTAAACTTCTGTGATAATAACACACCCTATCTGTTTCTTCTGCTTGTTCAAGCACTTTCCATCCTTCCACCTCTTCTTCCTCAGCATCATCATTGCAACCCTGTCCATCTTTCCAGAACCACTACAAGCACAGCCCACTCTCCCATCTCTCTTTGCCTAGAGCAAGGCCACCTCGCCCCTCTCCTCTTCTTACCCAGAAGATGCATCTGGGTTCATCTCCCCTGACCCACCACAAGCCCACCCCATACCTCCATCCCCTTTTCCCTTAGCACTCCGCATCCCTGCCCCTCGCCTGCCCCGCGCACATCCCATCCTCCCGTCTCCTCCTGCCCCGCACAGCGCATCCCTGCAGCCCTCTCCGGGCGGGCGGCGTGGGCGGTGTCCGGGCCGTGGCCCCGCGCCGCCCGGGCACGCCGCCGCCTGCCCGCCGGGCGCGGGGGGAGGGATGCCCGCGCCTTTTCGCTACGTCAGGGCCGAGGGAAATCCCCGCTGGACTCGCAGCCGCGCTTTTAGCGCCGTGCTCCGCCCCCGAGCCGGCAGAACGCCTCTGCCGCCTGCCCGAGAGCACCTCGAGCGCTCCGTGCCCCGCCGAACCGAGCCTGGGCCCTCCGTGCCCCTCCGAGCCTGGGCGCTCCGTGCCTCACCGAACCGAGCCTGGGCCCTCCGTGCCCCGCCGAGCCTGGGCGCCCCGTGCCGAACCTCGCCGAGCCCCGGAGCTCCGCGTCCCGCCGAGCCCCGTCCCGCTGCCGCGATGATGCCTGGCCGGACCCTGCGCAAAGCCGCGCCGCCTGCCGCTCCTGCAGGTACCGCAGGGCGAGAGAAAGGGGGGACGGGACCGCCTGGTATGGGGCAGGGACGGGACAGAGCAGGGACAGGGACGGGACAGAGCAGGGACAGAGCAGGGACACACCGTCCTGCGCCCGGGCGCTGCTGGCCGGCTCCAGCACCGGGTGGGCGGCCAGCGCCCGGCGCGGCTGCGGGAGCCCGTGTGGAGGCGAGAAGGATCCAGCGGCTGCTCCCAGCGAGTGGGGGGCAGAAAGGGTGCGGCGTGGGGTGTGCTTCGTGATGAGGAAAAAGTAAAAAATCGGGCAGAAAGGTACCGTGCTGTGGGGATCTGATGAAGGCGCTAAGCAGGCGCGTTTCCGCAGGGCGAGAGGCGGCGGTGGAGTGCGCCCTGGAGCTGACCCGCATCGGCGACAGGTGGGACCTGCGGCAGAGGCTCCTGAACCTGCTCGCCAAGATCTTCTGCCCCGGAACTTGGGCTGCCCGCAGACACGGCGAGCGGAACGGAAGAGCACCTTGGCTTTGTGGGTTCGGAAGAAGAGGCTCCACAGACATTGGGAGATGAAGAAACCTCAAATCTCGCTGCGTTGTATTTGGGTGACTGCAGCTGCTGGAGGATGGCTATCACATGTTTTCTCTGAAGAATGTTACAGCAATTCTGGCGTATGAATGCCAGCTGGGGAAAAAAGATAATGATGGGCTGAGCCCCTAAACTGTGCAGTGGTGACTTGGGGCGAGCTGGTGACCTGGGGAGATTTGGGACAAGACTGAACTTGCCCTTCACCATGGTCTGAGAACGCTTTCAGGAACCTGGTTTCCCCAGCCACCCTCTGGTCCTCATGTCCCACAGCCGTGTGTCATCGAGGAGCTCAGCCCGCCTACAGGATGAAGCAAAAAAAAAGTGTCAGTCTGTTGGAACCTGGGATCACATACCACACAGAATAAGAAGCCAGTTGCTGACCTTTGACTGCTCCTCCTCTCTAAAGTGTGGATCCTGCTGGACAGGGATCTAGTGGTGTTTATTAAAATTTGTTAAAGACAACCACTATCTTTATTGGAAAATTATTGTTACAGGATGTTGTTTTGCAGACTAAAAGTTGTAATTCTATGAATTAATACAGTGTTGCATAGTTCTAGTCTATAGGATAAGTATATAGTATAAGTTTATATATATAGTATGTATGCATAAAATATAAATGTGTGCACTGCTAGTGCATGTATTGAATATTTAATAGAACTATTCATCAAAAGCTGTTTGTTTAATCTCAAAACACAGTATGAAAAAATGTTCAAAACATGACAAAACTAAATATAAAACGGTATTATATAAACAAAAAAAAGAATAATATTTTCTGATGATAAAGGAAATAAGTCATGCTTCAGAGAGGGAAGCATACTTTGGCATAAGATATGTATCTGAATATACATTACACAGATACATAGGTAATTGTGGAAGGATTCTTTCAATATTACAAAGAATTTTTTTATAACAGTACAATTCTGCTGTGTCTTTATAAGTAACAAAATAACTTCAATAGAAGTAGATCCTAAAGTTGAATGTCAAGTTTTGCTGAGAATGTTATTTATTCAAAGAAAGCAACTACCTCTCTTTGAAGAAATAATATCAATAGAATTGAGCATTTCTGTGGTACAAGAAAGTAGCCTTAGATTTTTGAATGTTTAATTATACTTATGGATAAAGGTTCTTACCTTGTACTTTCTTTCCATTTCATTTCATGGCCTCCTCATCTCAGTTCCAGAATGGTGGAGCTGTGGCAGCCCATCCAGTGGATGGTGATGCATCCTCACCACTGAGGGCTTACGTGGGATTGACCCATCTCACTGAGGGGATATTATCTTTGGCTGGCTTCAGAGGAGCTGAATTAAACATGTTTGTTGCTGTGAAGGCAAACAGTAACTTTGCTACTTCATTCATGTCAGGCTCCATCCTAAACAGTACTTTTCATGGGTCCAAGATAGAAAGAAAAAGGCTGAAGCTGTTTCATAGCTACCTCTAAGGTCACTGGTGAGAGTTCCTTCTCTTAACTACCCTTGTATATAAGCACATTTGAATTTTTAAGGCTGTATAGTTACACTTTGTTATTTGTGTCTATTCAAATTATGTCTTCTCCTGTCTTGTGGTGAATTCTTGTTTGTATTTATAATTTATTTTTCCGTTATATCTTCCTAATCTGCCTTTGCAAAGTTGTCATTTTGTAACTCTGGTCACTCTCACAACCAGCTGTGCAGGGGCTGTATTGACACTGACTTCTGTCACTGAGCAGAAGCTGACTGACTTTGCCTTCTTTCCACGTGGAAGACTTAACCCCATCCATCCCAGTGGCATTACAGGGAGCTTTGCTCTTGGCTTGAGCCACATGCATTGTTCCCTTCCCCTGTAAGCTAGCCAGTACCTTTTCAGGGAGAACACAATATTTCAAAAATAGTTGTTATTTATCCTATACTGCAAAGCAGTGCATTTTACTGACATGTACATAGGTCAGTTTTTCAGGTACTAAAAAATAAAGAGTTTCAGACCAGCAGGACACCAGCTCCCAGGCTAGCATTGCATCCAGCTGGGCAAAACTTCATCAAAGACAGCTCCAGCTTCATAAGAAGGGTTGCTGTTGTATATCCTGTGCTTGGTGGAGTCTTGGGATCTTCATCAAGGACACTGAACAATGACCATGCCTGTCTGGAACTCTCAGAAGAATTCAGCACTAGCATTCACATTAGTAGCTGAAAAGTATGTGAATAAAACTGTTCTGTTCAATGCATGCTGCTTGCAAAATCTACAGGAAACGAGGTGTGGAGTTGTAGAACGTGCCCTGTTCTTCAGGCTGTAGCACATATAAATATTACCAAAAAAAGTATATCATAAATGCATTGTCATGGGGATATCCAAGTGTACTGTTAGCACAGTATTTGTCTGCCTGGTTATGCAAAGACTATTTGCTTTTTTTTGAAATGCTTTAGGTTTTTCTATGCATTGTCAAGAATGGCAGTGTTCAACAGGAACTCAGGAAAAAGGCACAGATGCAAGAGGTCAGTGCCAGTATATGACCAAGTGCTTGCTGATGTCCACCCTAGATTTCTTTTGTTACTTCTGCAAAGGATCTGCTTTTGACTTTATCAACATGAGTTTGTTTTCCTTAAGGCCTGTTCTGGATGCGTGCCAGATGTGCTGCTGTACCCCTCACGCATGTATGTCTTGAGTTCTTGCTAAGATAATAAATACAAAGTGTTTACAAGAAAAATGAGTCACAAAGGTTTCTGTCACTCGGGTTTTCTTTTGTGGATTGCAAAAGCATGGCTTTATTATGCAAATTCCTTCCATGCTTCCATGTCAGCAGGCAAAAGCAGGAGGGCAAGAGCAAAGTGCCACCAGGTATGCTTTGGTAGGTTAGGCTTTGCCTTCTCCCTTTAAAAAGAAAAATAAAACATAACCATGACCTTGAACTTCAAAATGAGACACGTATTCTAGTATTTCTTGTTAACTAATGGCTGCAGAATGTTTGGGTGGCACTGGGGGCCCATTACTTCTACCAGAGTAGCTGCAGCTTTGCAAAGGAGTGTTCCTTGTAAAGGATAGACATCCAAGTTAAGGGTTTTGTCCAAGATGCAGCCAGAAAGGAATTCAGCATTTTGTCAGGCAAAGTTTTACTTTCTCCATGGTTTGAAGTTGGAGATTGGGAGGAGTGGGAAGTGATGCTGCTTATCACAAGGGAATAGCAGGGGGATAGCTCAGACCACATTTTTCTTCCCTACTGCTGGGACCCAAAGATGTGTCTGTGCAGATGAGTGCTTGAGGTCCTCCCCTGTTACGCCAAGCACGTTAGCAGACTCCCTGCTCACTCACCCTGATGCTTTTTCCCAGCTTCACAGGCACCCTCCCTGTAGCTCACGTTCCCAGTGCAAGGAGGATTAATAACTTCTGGGCCAAACAGACTTGTTTCTAATAACCAGGAAAAAAACCCAAAGAGATGCAACTCCCTGTTCTTTCCCACTTAGTCATCAGCAGAAGCCAGGAAGACTTTTACTTTGGAGGGCATCAGTCTGGTGAAAAGTGCTACCGTAGGTGCAGCACAGAGGTCTGGGTTTGCAAAGTTTCACCAGCAAATCATACTTGCATGACTGATCAGACTTGTGAAAACATTCAGACACTCTCACCTGCTTCCCAATGGAGTCTGGCCCCTCTGCAGCCCACCAGAGCAGTGTCCAGTCACCTACATAGCATGATGCTTGTGACCTGCTCCTCCCTAAAGGACAGGGGGAAAAAAAATCCTATCACTCCTATCACTGGCATTGCAATCTAAATCCACTTGACTCACTCACAAGCATCTGATATCAAAAAAGCAAAACAAACCCACCTGGCGAAGCAAACTGACAGAGTTGCCACCCTATAAAGCTCTCCATTTACCAAAGCACTGGCTGGAGTGCAGTGCTGGGTTGTGTTTGCTCTGTGGTCCCCCAAGTGAAAACCAGCCTGGCCCCCTCAGCCAGCTCATGCCTTCACACCTGAGACTGGATGCACAAGTGGTATTTCCCAAACAAAGTGCCAGACAAGGAGATACTTCCTCTTCCGCTCATGAGATGTTTTTGCAAATCAGCTGAAAAACAATGTCTCATATGCTGCTCATTATTTTTAGTAGACACTGCTGGATGGGACTAAGTTGAATCACTTTCCTCCCATTAACACAAGAGGGTGTGAGGGCATGATGTGCATCCACAGAGGCGTAAGGAGGCCGGGCAGGAAGAGCTGGGGATATAATGCATTGCCTTTCAGTCTGGCAGGGTTTCCCCTCAAGCAGGTGACTGTCTGATGGTGGGACTGTCAGTGAGCAATAGTCCCAAAATCTGTTACAGCTGTAAACAAGGGTCCTCACCCAAGTGCGTCAGGACATTGTCTGGCCCGTGTAAAAACAGGCCACACCAAGGCTGCCCTGCCTTCTCACGCATGCCCTCTTTAAAATGCAATTCTCACCAGCCCTCTGAAAGCATGGAGGTTGCTGTCACTCCTTCAGCAACAGGAGATATCCCATTAAATGGAAGTGACCACAAATAAAACTGTTTCAGCCATTTCATCTTCAGCCATTTCATCTTTGGTGGCTTTGGTGTCATTCCCTCATCCCCACAGAAGGATGGTGGGAGCACCATGAGGTTCAGAAGCTCAGCTCCCTCATGACATGGTCATCACTTGAAGGGGCAAGGAAACTTTTTGTAGTGGACAGGCCAGCTTGCAAATCTTAGGGGAAAAAAATTACTTTCAGCATCACCCCTGAATAAGGACAATAATAGGATGCTGGCACTACCTCCCTCAGATTCTGGGTCCAAGCAGGGATTCCAGCCCCCTACAGTATGGCAGAAATTAAGGGACAGCATCCTGTTTTCACCTTCCCCTTTGTGCTCCTGACAGGGATGTGACAAAGTTGCAACAAAGGCAGGAGGCCACAGTCATGTCTGCCCTGCTTGGGATCAGGAATTAGGGAGGAAACTTTTGACAAGAGCAGCTGGACACTGGACATTATCCAGCACCACTGTAGCACATCACACAAGGAAATGGCTTTGGCATGTAGGGAAAAATCCAAGGAATTTCAGAACCAGGTAACTTGTTTGCTCAGTGCACCGGTATCAGACTGATTCAGCTGCACAGAGGGGTGAGGCCAGCACATATGCAACTATCAGTGAAAATGCAGGAAATTCTGCATTTAATATTGACTAACTTCACAAAATACCCTGACCGACACAAAATATCCTTTTAGTCACAGCTTTACAGTCTATGGGATGGAAGGGCAACTCCTTGTTTTAGGGAATGATGTTTATTTGCATGAAAAGTTCTTTCATATCATCATTAAAAGTGAGGGGGTTTGTAAAGGAAAAGAACTTAATTATTGCAATCATTATTAATTCCTGAAGTCTTTTAGCTGGGTCAGGTGCTTTGATAAACACAGCTACGTGAAAGAGGAAGTAATGACTGGTTTTCCCTATAAGCAGAGTCCAAAACAGGCTTTTACTAAAGGCTGATGGAGACAGTGTGGTTTCAGCCATGCTCCTGGGAAGAAGAAACACCTCATTTAACATAAGTGGTGGGGAATCAGTCCTAGATAAGGCAGATCATTCGCTCTGCAGGCATCTATAGGTAGGAGGCTCCTGGACACAGGAAGAAGGGACAGCAAAAGCAGTTGTGCAACCCAGTATTGCATAGAAAGGAAAAAATCAAGCACCCAAATGCTGGACCAAAAATCTCCCAGCACCAGGCAAGAAGGCATGGGCCAGGGACTGGCAGCACAGAGGCAGCAGGGTGGACATGCCATCCGTGCAGCTATGGCTGGCTCTGTGCTGATGCTGCATGGCCATGGGCACCCCAAAGTGAGGCCAGCACCATGGCCTGGGAAGGTTTCACTTCTTTTTGTCATCGCAGTGATGTGCTGCCCTGTGGCATCGCTTCTCTGTGTTCATGGGTGTCACACCAGCCACCGCCTGCCCTGCTCCTGGCCAGCCACAGACTCCAGGGTGGCCTGTGGGAACCTTCTCCTTTATAACACCCCAGCTTGGGGACAGTGACCATTAGCATCTGGCCAAATGTGGTAAAGTGGCATTTTTGATACATTCCTGGAAATAGAGATGAAGGAACAGATACACCAGAATCACAGACCCTATTCAGATTGCATTCAGTGATGCTAACAGGGAGCAGGAGAGCAGCAAAGCTGTAAAAAAAAAAAAGAGAAATGAAATGCAACTTTTTAGGTAGAACCATGTTTCAAGTTCCTCATTTTCCTGTTCCCTAAGGCTTTCACAATTGAGAGAAGTAAAAATTTTCTAGTACTTCTCAAGTCTTGGTGGATAAATGAAGTCACATGTACTAATCCATTTACAGGTAAGTTCATTGTGTCTTCTTGCTTTTGTATTCCTCTTTAGTTAGCTACTGACTGTGGCAATTTAGATTTCAATTAAAGATATTAAAGACTAATCTTACATGAGCCAGGCTGCTTGGAGGTTTGACCCCAGCTCAGGCCATGTGTTGGAGAAGTCAGGACAGACAGGGAGATGGATAAGGGGGGGTCAGTGAAAGAGAGGAGGGGAGCTGGGTTGGCCCAGCACTGGTGACAGCAGGGGGAGCGGAAAGGCAGAGGAAATAATGACTGAAAATATCTTCTTCCTTTTCACCATGCAGCCCTGGGGGGAGAAGCCAGGCTCCAGCTGTGGACAGATGTGCTGAACCAAGCTTGAGGGGACACCATCCCAAAGCTTCCCATCCATCTCCTTCCCAACCTGCTGGTTTTATGCCTTGCAGTTTCACTACACAACAGCAGAGACTCTGCAGCATCCCTCAGCATCATGGCTGTGTGCAGGGGAGAAGGATAGGGAAAAAAGGGTCCCAAGGCAAATGGAAAACTGGTATACCACAAAGCTCCTCCTCTTACCCTCCAGCCCAGGAAAGAGTCCACGTGCCCAGAGGGCCGGCTGCGAGCCAGCCACTCTGGCCTTTCCCACAGGATGAGTCAGCAGAAGCTTGGGCTTATCCCTCCTCACGAGGTTCTTGCTCGCTTGCACCCTCGCAGCGTGGCACCCAGAGAAGGAAACTGAAAGCAAATGCAGTGGCTTCTGGGGCACAAACCTGGGCACGAGGGAAATGCCCTCTGCACCACTGGCATAGGAGGGCAAATGCCCTCCTTCCCCTCACACAAAACCCCACCTGGCCCTTCCAGGCAGCACACTGTCCCAGCAGGAAATGGTGAGGCTTGCCAGGCCTGGCACAAGGCGCAGGTGAGTGCCATGGGTACAGCAGGGAAAGGTCAGGAGTGCCCTGTGCCATGTGGGAGCTCTGCTGCAAGCGCCCAACCCAGCAGGCAAACACAGAGCAGTGCACACGGGCCTGCAGCGCAGATATAAACACTCCAAGTCACCAGGCCGTTCCTCCAGCTCAGCCTTCCCCACAGCCACCAGCTGACGTGTCCATGTGCTGCCAGGCAGCGTAACCACTTTGGGCACCTCCGGCATTCCACACATCAGGGCAGCTGACAAGAGAACTTTCTGGGCTGGCTCACCTTTCCATGAGGAAGGCTGGCTTCGGCCTGCTGTGCAGTGACTGTGTCTAAGAGAGGCCCACTTGGTGCAAACCTCCCCAGTTTGGAGGCTGTGTCTCCACCTCCCACTATGAGCTCCACTTCAGCTCCACTCCATCCATAGAGTGTCTCCAGCCCAGCCTGTTCCACCAGCTCACTG